TATATATATATATATATATATATATATATATGTATATATATGTATATATATATATATATATATATATATATATATATATATATATATATGTATGTATACATGTTTCATTGAATATCACAGACAAGGTGCTTTGATTTAGTTTTTTATACAGTTTCTCCTGTGATCTTATAATTTTTTTCTTTCCAGAGGTTAAATTATATAAAAACTGTCCAATTGTTCTTTCATTCTGAACACTTTTGGCTATACATTTAGCCATTTTCAAGGTTGAAATATATTAACTGTTGACAAGAAATACATTGTTGTATGTATGTATTTATATAATGTTTCATTTTCAAAGCACGGTCAAGATATTGTGTCCATGTTTATAGCTGATATTACTGAGTGTTGGTTTTTTTGTTTTTATTAATAAGGCTTCCATTATTTTTAACCATTTTTAACATGTAGACAATGCTAAATATATAGCCTAAAGCTCTTGGAAAGAAAAAACAAAGATTTGTGTTTACTCACAGAGTATAATTTCCACAAGGAAACCCATTATCAGCAATACCACTCCACCCACATTTTAACTCCAAATTTTAACAGCCATCACCTATCGACTATGTTTTCAACAGCCATCTATCTACTATATTTTTATGTTCTTCCACCTATGATTTCTCTCATTACTCACTATTCTGTAATGGAAATATTGCCATGTACACTGAGGTCTACTTTCTGGTCACCCTCTTTGGTTCTATAACTACAGTTCCCTTTACTTATGAGCTTATGTAAAGAGTGTGGAAGGTTAGTGTAGATACATATTAATCCTGTATATGTATTCATACCTTTACATGTATTGAGATTCATAAGTTAGTGTGGTGGCTTGTGTATATTTACACAATCCTATGTACACTTATGTACACATGCACATCTTTATATGTATGTTTTTCCCCCTCTGTTTTCACTTTATTATATTTTTTCTGCACCTCCATTTTTTAACAATAGATTTCCAAATTTTTATCCAAAAGTTTTATCCTTTTATTTGTTCCTTCCCTTTTTTCTTTCATTTCTTTTAATTATATCTTATTATTATATATTCCTTTGTTTTTCCTCACTTTCTTGTCTCATCAGATGTTATCTTAACTACATCCCATCTCTCTGAAATTGACAAATTATTCTAACTACTGCACATTGTTCTGAAATTGACAACTTGACTTGGTCAAACAATTTTCAATTCCACTAACTAGACACGAGATGTCTTCCCCACCCTGCAACATATAACTCTCTTCATCTATGTTTAAAATCTTAGTACCCCACTCCCCCTGCTAATAAGAATAGACTGGCCTTAAGCTTTTACACCGATCAAAATTTTAGATCTAAGTTTATTCCCATAAAAAGTTTTGAACAGCAAGGAATCAGACAGAGATTTGGTTTTTGCTAATAATATGATCTCCACCCGAAAATACACTGTTCACAAAAAAACTCTGTCGATGAGTAATTCCCATTTCTCTGTTTATTTCTCACCCCATCTAGGTACTGACCAGTCTTGATATTGCTTAACTTTGGTAATTGTTCATGAACTCGTGTTTCAATGAGATATGACCATAAACTTATATAACATTTGACTCTGAACTTGAGGAGGTTAAGATTGTAGTGGTCAGAGAAGCATCGTCTTGGAAGTTTGTTCTAGAATACAATGGCTCTTGGAAAGGAATGTAGCTAGTCAGAACATTTTCCATGGAAATGATAAAAGATTAGCAGTAAGCATGTGATGTTGTATCTTTAGGAAAGAAGTTGTAGAGTGGAAAATAATTAATTACTGACAAGGCCACATAAATACACTTCAACTAGAAAGAGAAATTTGGGCAGCTCCAGCCGAGATATAACAGCAATATTTTTGGTCTGATCTGACTCTTGTAAAGATAGAGCATAGCAGGTGAAGTTAAGTATTTATGGAGCAGTATAAGGAGCTGACCATTTTTCCAGTACCTTTAGACTAAATGGTCATCTGTATATTAATTACACTTATGCCGATGTATGGTGTGTGTCATGTTCAGTATCATAAGTACTGAAGTGAAGCAGTAAAATAGAGGGACATAGAGAGTAAGACAGAAAGAAAGAGAGTGACATAGACAAAAACAAAGTGTGACACAGAGAGGGATTAGAGGTGGGGGGTGTAATCTTAGATAAAGGCATTTGTTTGTTGTGAGAAGTTAAATCATGTTTTGTGATCTCAGAGTCTGTTGAGGACAAATTCAACCCTGATCTGCAACTGATCTTTTGAAATGAAAATCTGTCTTTTCGTTTTTGTTTTTATTCAGTCTTATCTCTGTGAATTTGTTACAGAACCCAGACTATGTTGAGCATCTGAGAGGGAAGCAGAAATAGAGAGAGAGAGAGAGAGATGTAGAGAGTAAAACAGAAATAGAGAGAGAGGGATGTAGAGAGTTAAAAAGAAAGTGAGACATATAGAGTGATGGAGGATCATCCTTGGTAAAGGCAGTTGTTTGTTGTGTGTGGTTAAATCATCATTTGTGATGTAATGATCTGTTGAAGACATTTCAGTATTTTTAAGAGAAACTATGCCACTTTTCTTATAACTATCTGGGAATGGTCATGGGTGGAAAAGTACAGATTGCAGCATTAAAAAAATGTATTAGTTAATCTGTGTAATTTATACGGGTCCTGCTAGTTTTAGAGAATTAATGCATAGGTTGGGCATGATGCATAAATAATTTCCTATACATGTAAACAAGATTCTAGACAGCTACCAAGAGTGACACATTTGTAAAGGCACCAGTGGCAAACAGCATAGCATCCACCACACAAATCAGAGCAAATGTAGCCACAGGAGTGTCAACAGTAACATTCTTGATAAAATATAAAGAAGAATTTGCAATATTATTGGTCCTGACCTGACATCTTGATTTCAGTCACTTTCCCACTGCCATACCATAAGTTTCCTATACCTTTTCTATAAATATATTCATAGTAATTGTTTTTTGGTACCTAGACTTTATAAATTTAAGCATACTATTAGATTGGCAGTAATGTCTCATCCTTTTACCATTGAAATGTTTAGCATAAAGTTCTATGCTAATAGTTTCTTTGGTTGCACTTCTTGCTTATGGAACCCTCTTCCAGCTTCTTGCTTTTGAGTCAAGTTTGATCTTCAAAAATTTAAATGCAGTGTCAATCATTATCTTCTGCCTCCTTAATTCCTGTTCTTTTATTGTTCTCTCCACTTAATAATGTTTTCTTCTTCTCATATTCTCTCGCCCCTTTAATTTTAGTATCTTTCTTGTCTTGCTTGGGATGAAAATGATTAAAAAGAATCATAAAAACAATTTGGACTCTTTTTTAATAACATATTGCATTTTATATTGACTACTGAACTGCTTGGAAAACTTGATTTCTTTGGGAAAGATACTAGAATAATCTAGAAGTTATACCGTGAGTAAACCACTTATATATGTATAGAAACTGAATTGAATGAGTCCATAAAAATAGAAAGGGGTGTAAGACAAGGATGTGTTTCATCAGATTTATTCAAACTTTACAGTGAGGTAATCCTAAGAGAAGTAAAAGTCCTATCAGGATGTATTATTAGTGAGTGCAATCTTAATAACATAATATATACAGCTGATACCATGTTGATGGCATACATAGAAAGGAAACTACAAGAAGAAGGTCGTAAATTAAAGTGAGAAGAAAAGAAAATGTCTGTCGCTTACCTACGAAGTCACTCAACTACGAAATTCATATCTTCTGACAGTTTACTCCTATACAAGAACTCTGAACAAATTTGTGAGTGTTTTAACCTTTAACAACAATCTACTACTTTCTTAAAGAACTTTTAGGTGTTCAGAGAAATATTTTGAGCAAGCCTTTTCTTTTTATGAACATTTTTCTTCTTTTAAATTTATGGAATTTTCTTTTCCTTTTCTCATAATTGTGTATATCCTTATACCCTTTTTTTTGTGCATGTAAATAAACATTTTCTTCCTTTATTGTTACACACCGAGCAGGAGTTTGAGTTTTTATTCCTCCGCTTGAAAGAGCTGCCTAAAAATAGAGAATTGTCCGCTTTAACCTTTCAAGTCATTGTCACTTTTTAAAATTTTTGTCACATTTTTAACCTCAACCCTTTCATGTGGGAAAGCTGGGACAAATTTCTTACAATCTTCATGTGAGTGGGATGTTTTTCATATAAAAACAAATACCTATATTCTCCACAGAAGAATGCTGAAAATACCATAGGCAGATCATATAAGCAATAAGGAAGTTTTAAAGAAAATGGAAACAAAAAGGACACTTATAGTCAGAACTAGAAAGAGTTAAAATTTGTAGAGCACCTAAGGAGGAAAGAAAGTTTAGAAAATTTGGTATTCACTAGACATAATGAAAGCAAGAGGGACATAGGGAAGCAGCTAAGTAACCTACCTAATGAGCTTGTAAATGAATATCAGGGCAGGGAAAGGAAACTATATTAAAAAGACAAACATATGGGCTTTATCATTCATAAAACTACACCTACAAAAACTGTAATTATAATTAAATATAAAAACCTACAAATTATAATTAATTATAAATATTAATAAAATTTGTAAGACATTATGACTTTTCATTTGTATTAGAGAACAAACTTGACAACTGAGATGGAAATTTTGTATGAAAGCATTTATTGTTGGTAAAAGCACTTGAATATTTATGTTTTCCTAAGAATGTTATTTCGACACTTCAGCAATATTTCATGATTTAGGATATTTTAGTCTAGAAATCTAACGCTTAAAAAAACTTAAGTGGCATTAGAAATTGTATTAGAATTAAAAAAAAAAAACCTTTAGTTCATCTCCTTATATAAAGTCACAGTTTTAAATAATAGAAATTAATATAGTTTTAAAATATTAATTTATATCTATGTGTGACTCTTCAATTTATTTAATTTTTTTAGGTCAGTGGTTACTGTGTGTTTTAGCAACCGGAAGTGATTACAGTATCTCCCAGGAATTTAAACCGTGATCATGTCGGAGCCTTTGACATTAGAAAAAGGTATTTAATTTTTTTTTTTTATTGGTCTCTCTTTTTTTTTTATTATTTACTGAAGATACGTTTGGTTTTTACAATAAGAAGGTAATTCGATTCAGTTTTTTTTCCTCTTTCTTACGTATGTGGATTCTATTTGCCATTGCAAATGTTTGTATTCTCATCTGCTTGTCTGTCATGCATTTTTATTACTCTTGTTTTGTCATGTATACCTTTTTCATGCTTTGAATCTTAGAAAGCTTGTCTTCTCACTTTGATAACGTGTGCTTCCCTCCTGAAATAAAAGAAACTAAACGGTATATTTAACTTTTAATGTTGCTTTATATATCTTATTTATTTTTTCTACGACACACCTTTTTTTTTTTTTTTTTAAAAAATAAGCCTTATTTCTCATCGTAGTCATTTTTATCCCTGCCCTCCTAGTCAGCAAATGTCTTTTTCATTGTTTTCTATTTTATTTAAAAATGAAAGTACATGTTTACCATTTTATTCTATTTTTTTTAAACTGTAATTTGCGCAAAAGATAACTCAATCATTATCTAATACCGCACCCCGCTTTTATAGATAAAGTTTTCACTTTTCAGGTCGTTTTGTCGTAAAAACTGGAAAGATTGACTATTATTGTTGTGACTTGAATCTTGCTAAGGGTCCTACGACACATTACATTTTTATATAAGTTAATTTGCATCATGTTTCGTATTTATTTTCTAGTCTTTTGCATTAAAAAAAATAAGACCACTGTCATTTATTTACAAACTGTAAGGCTCATTACTGCAGAGTGCAGCGTAAATCTTTAAAAAAAAATTTAAGGTCATTAAAGAAGCGAAGATTATTCAGTCTCTCGGTCTTTAAATTTTTAAATTATATAAGTATTAAATTTAATAGCCTCTGTGACTAGTGAAACTCATTCCTATCCACTTGGTTGAGACTTTCACAAATATTTTTTTACTGAAAGAACTTGATGATGTCATGGTATTATTGTTGAAATCTAGAGAAGACACTCGCCGGACACCATTCACTGTCAGTCACTGAACCTTTTTGTGAATCTATGATAATAATTTTTCTAAATTCTACCTCTGCTTTATAATCCAACACAATATATGTATATTTTTTTCTACTTGCAAATCTAGCTTTATTCTTTCAAATTCAGTGTTTTTGAAAGACAAAAGAAATGCAGAAAAATCAGTTTTTTTGTTTGTCTTATTGCCTTTTTTAATTAATTAATTTAATTTTGAAATTTTGGTAATGTTTTTTAAAAGTTTACACTTTACAGAACGAAAATTACTTGAACTTTAGGTAGTTTTCAATATTTTGGATTTTAAAGAAATTTTTCTTAAATTATCAACAACCATTATTTTTTTTATTATTGAAATGAAATGTAATGCTTTCTGTTTCATTATTTAAGTTCAATGATTGATTCGAATATTTAAAAATAAATAAAACTTGCTTAAAAAATATGAGGAAAAATATTAAATTAAGGCTGGAAAAACACTTCTAATCTCTCTTTATTTTTATTTTAACACCTGTAATTTTACAGTAAAATGAATAGTCGTGTTTTCCTGATTTTTAAATCATTTTTAAAAAAATTATTATAAAGAAATGCATTTTAGGTGTTTGTCAGGCACATTTTTAAATTTATTATTTGTAGATTTCACACGAAAAAAATCCATTTAACCCTCTTTAGAAGATTAACAAAAAAAAAAAACGGTTACAAGTTGTAAAATGTAACCAGAACCTCAATCACACTTTCAACGAAAGAAATTTTAACGAAGGAAATTTTTACAATTTGTGTCGATCGACAATTTTAATGTAAATGAAAGATCGATATGTGCATTTATTTTTTTTTATTTAAATTTTAAAATAAATCTTATGTAGTAAAATAAGAAATGGATAATTTTTTTACCGATCACTTTTTTAAATAAATTTTGAAAGTTAAAAAAAAAAAAAAAGTGATGAATGGTCACAGATTTGGTTTACTTTAATGATTGTATCTTTTTAATAAACACTATATTTGTACGCGATTATTCCACATGAGTTTCTGAAGAAGAAAAAATTGAACGGTATGAAGTATGAACAGTAACACTAAACATACTGTAACCCGGTGCTAACATACAATGTAGCAATGACGAGCTGGTGCTTCGAGGTTGGTTCACCGGTTCTCAGTCTACTAATCTACACTACGGTTTGTTTATTTATTTGAAACCTTGAAGTATTGTTTGTGTAGCTATACATTTAAAATGTAAAAAGTACAACCATGTGAATAAGCCACAAATTAATCGCAATACGAGTCTGGATAAAAATGTTAATCGTTATTGCATATTTATTTAGTTTATTGTAGAAAAATATAATCATTTGTAAATATTTTTAAATTTGTTTAAAAGGTGAATGAATTTTTCTCAGCAAGTATAAAGCAATATTATTTTTTTTTTACACTGTACAAATTGTAAAATGAACTTTTTAATTGTACAAAAATGTTTTGCTAACCTCTTCTCCCGACTAAAAAAAAAAAGCATGCAGATTATTGAAATTGACGAATTGCATTTTGAAAACGCATCGTGTTGTCTCTGATTTTTCTCCTTCTCTGCTTCCTCATTTCTTTTAGGCTTTTCTTCTCTTGACTATTATTACGCATTTAAAATTTTAAGATAAGTAAAATTAAAGCTTAACTTCAATTTTGACATCAACTCTCTTGTTTTGTTTGTATTGTTCTTACAATTCGTAATAATGTGGTCGATTCATTCTCTAATCCTCCACCCACACTCATTTTATAAACTTTTCATGATGGCTTCAAAAATAAATCGTTAACATTTGGAACTAATAATAAATTACGCTAAACCTAATTTAAAGTGAACTGTGAAAAATTACACTATTTAAAAAAAAAAAAAAAAAAAAAAAAAAAAATAAAACCATCTTGCATGCCAGATGGTGTGGTAATTAAATTGATTTTGAAGTTTTGTTCGTCTTAAAATAAAAAAAGCAAAAAATGTTTTAAATTTAGATGCGTTAAGTTAAAGTTAATACAATTCAATAGTTAATCAAACTGTCAAGGAATGGATTTTTAGTTTTTAAATATTCTAGCTTGGCTCTTCAAGTCTTAGTGTTATTATTTTCATGTTTCTAAATATGTTCCTCTTTATTTTTAAAGTATTTTGTGGTCATTGTCAGAAATTATCGTTGTACTCATTTTTAACACTTTAAATAAGTAGCCATTAATTTTTGGAATTTTCTAATTTTATAAAAGAAAAAGAGGGAGTTATTTTATTTTATTTTTTTTCATTATTCAAAATTGATTTTTTTCAACGTTTGGCATCAGTTGAGTTGGAGATAGAAAAGTGAGGATACTTGCAGATATTGTCTGTAAAAATATTTTTTATTTTAACATTACTCTTAAAAATCTTTCATTTTTAAAAGTTTCTCTTTTTTTTTTTTCTTTTATTTAAGCACTGGTACATTTTCTATTCCTGCGTATAAATTTGAAACCTTAGGTTTAAAAATCGCTGAAGACCTCGTGTTTGAATTAATCTCAAAGTAAAAACCTTCCATGTGATGTTTTTCAAATGATGCTTTGTTACTTTATTAATTTTAAATACATTTTCTGTGACTAATTTGTTTTTGTACTTCGAGATTATGTTTTAACTTAAGAAGAGCTGATTGTAATTATCACTTAGGTGGCTTATTTAATTATAGTTATACTTCCTTGCTACTTATGTTCAAGAGCTGTGCTTTTAGCTTTTAAAAATGCAAGATATAGAGCAGGTGAGTAATAGTGTCACTCCAGCCAGGTGGCTCAGAAAAAATACTTTATTTTTGTCGTGTTAAGTAGGACAAATCCGACTTTTTTGTGTTTAAAACTATCTGTTTTTTGTTATCCGCTAGGAATAAAAATACGACCAGTATAACTAACCGACATTACATTGAAATATTAAGAAGAATAAGAAAAAAAGTATCTGAAGGTACAGTAATATCTGCATTATTTGCGCCAACCTATTTGTTCAGTTGTAAGAAATATTGACTTTTTTTTTTTTTTTTTTGTGGAAAGAGCTTTGCAAAGAGCATTTGTTGGATGACACATTTCTACTCAAGTATTGTAGTTTTTTTTATGGATACTTTAACAAGGAAAAAAAAAACTTTGCAGACATATTTTGATTTCTGCAGAAGTTAGTTTTTATTAGATTTTTAATGATTTATTTAGCTAAGAAGTGTGTCTGGTGCTCAGTGCGATTCAAGCTCATGTCAACAATGTGCCAGTAATTATGTGCGTTTTTTTGTTGTTGTTTTTTTTTTTTTTACCAGAAATGAATGCAAAAGATCGTTACCCCGTCTTTAAAAACTTGGAAAAGTAATAACTTAAACTTAATTATCTAATTTTATTTTTAGACGAAGTATTCAGTACTTACTAAAAAAATTGAAATAATTGGTTATAAAAAGCAAAATTTTTAAAAGATAAACACCTATTTCTTGATTATTGCACTCTTGGTGTTTGTTCTGTATTTCTTTAAATAAATTTACACGTTTTTGAAATTGGATTACAGTAGAAAACTACTGTGGTTGATCTTTTAAGACATCACAGACTACTATGCATAAACTTTTATTTTCATTGTTTTTTTTTAAGCCAAAAAAAACAAAAAAAACTATGAATTACTTTTACAAAATCAAGTTAATCTTTAAATTAACTGACTTTGAAAGATGTCTCTAGGACAAATATTGGGCTTTTAAGAATTTTAAACATGTTTATATTAATAATGGTCATTTGAAGAGTGACAAGTGAATGTGCCAGTGTTCTTAAAAATGCCTAAAAACTTTATTTACATATGGAAAATATTTTTTTTTTTTTCATACAGATTAGCTAACATTTTTACTTCAAAGACATTTAAAAACTATTTGGACGTACAGATGGTGTATGGATATCAACTTGGAATGAGAAATCGTAGAGTTGAGTTCATTACATTCACTTATGTGCAAATACTGTTGGGAAAGATATGAATCCATCTCCTCTCGCCTATGGG